GCCGTCGCTGTCAGTGCGTGTCGTATGCCTCGTTCCGCTAGGAATCTTTCGAATTCCAGCGAGGTGAACTGGGGTCCGTTGTCTGACACGATGACATCCGGGAGACCGTGGGTTGCGAAGAGTTTGTTTAAGACCTTGGTTACTGCATCTGTTGTGGTGGTCTTCATGTTGCTTACCTCCAGCCAGTTGGAGTAAGCATCCACCGTGATGAGGAATGTGTTCCCTTTTGTGGGCCCGGCAAAGTCTATATGGAGTCTCGACCATGGTCCCCTGGGCGTTTCCCATTCTAAAATTGGTGCTGCGGGGGGATTTGGTCTGGTTTCTTGGCAGCGCGAGCACTTGGCTACCCAGGCCTCGATCTCCTTGTCCATACCTGGCCACCAAGCATAGCTTCTGGCTAAAGCTTTAGTCCTCACAATCCCCGGGTGCCCTTCGTGTAATAATTGTAATACCTTCCCTTGCAGTTTTTCCGGTATGACCACCCTGTCCCCCCATAACAAACAACCTTTCTGTAGTGACAGTTCTGTTTGCCGGTTTCGGAATGTCCTGAATGCATCATCGCTGTCTTTCTCTGGCCATCCCTTTGCTACCCAATGTAATACCCGCGCCAGACGCTTGTCTTTATTAGTCTCTCGGGCAATGTCTGACGCGGTTATGGGTAGGTCCGGCAATGTCTCTATGCTGAGGGTGGTCGTCGTGGGAGCTGGATCGTCGTCGAGGTCGGGAAGCGGCGAGCGGCTCAACGCGTCTGCATGGGAGATCGTCTTACCCGGTCTGTGTGTGAGCCGGTAGTCGTAGGCGGCGAGGAACTCAGACCACCTTGTCATCCTGGGGGATAGGATGTTCGGGGTGGCCTTGTTCCCCGCCAGGATGCCCAGCAGCGGCTTGTGGTCCGTGATGAGGGTGAATCGGCGGCCGTAGAGGTACTCGTGGAACTTCTTTACTGCTGCGACGATGGCCAGTGCCTCCTTATCTAATTGGCTGTAGTTTCTTTCGGGTTTGCTGAGTGTTCTTGAAAAGAAAGCGATGGGTGCTTCTTTTCCGTCTGGGAGTGTATGGCTGAGGACAGCGCCGACGCCAAATGGTGAGGCGTCGCATGTGACGGCGATGGGTAGGGTCTCATTATACTGAATGAGAACGGCATCCGAGGTGAGCAGGTCTTTGGTATTCTTGAATGCGGTGTCCTCCCGTTTCCCCCAGGTCCATTTGGCCGTCCTGTCCAGGAGCCTATGCAAAGGCTCCGCCGCGGTCGCCTTTTGGGGCAAGAACACATTGTAAAAATTTAGCAGTCCCAGAAATGCCTGCAGCTCTGTTTTGTTCTTGGGTGTGGGGGCTTCCTTTATGGCTTTGACCTTGCTTCCGGTGGGGTGGATGCCATGTCGGTCTAGGAGGTACCCCAGAAACTCGACTTGCTCTGTGTATAGCTGGCATTTCTCTTTCTTCACCTTTAGCCCGGCCCCTTTGAATTTTTCTAGTACCTCCCTTAGGCGACCCTCTAGTTCCTCCTGGTTGGCTGCTGACACCAATACATCGTCAAAATAGGGAACCACCCCCTTGATTCCTCGCAGCAGTCTCTCCATGAGGCTCTGGAAAATTCCTGGGGCTACGCTGACTCCAAACTGGAGTCGGTTACAACGAAACGCTCCCCGGTGGGTGACTATTGTTTGCGCCTCGGCGGTTTCTTCATCGACCGGCAGTTGCTGGTAGGCTTGTGCCAGGTCGAGCTTCGCAAAGACCTTGCCCCCCCCCCAGCGAGTGTAATAGGTGTTGCACTACTGGGACGGGGTAGGCGCTTTGTTGCAGGGCGCAATTGAGGGTGGCCTTATAGTCCCCGCAGATCCTTACTGACCCATCTGGTTTTACTGGGGTGACTATAGGGGTCTCCCACCGGGCGTGGTCGATTTGCTGCAAAACCCCCTGTTTGACGAGTTTGTCAATCTGCTCGTCTATTTTCTTCCGGAGTGCAAAAGGCACCCGTCTGGGTTTTAGGCGTATGG